CTATCAATTGAAATCAGCAAATCGATGGGCCTAATAGCCGCTCATTAGCCACTTGATATATTTCCAGGGCTAACATCAGAACCTGTCAGCGGCCCCTAATCAATACTATCTAAAAGTATTACCCAACCAAGGCCCACGCCAGACAGCGTTTTAATAATAAAAGTTGTTTGTCTGGCTTTCTGTGTGCAAGTGGAGCGTTATGTCTGACTCTGTGGGTCAAACTTAAACTTCTCTGTCATTTCTAAAAAAAAACATATCTCATTAGCAGCAACATTCACACACACACCAAGCAGACACAATCTTCCTTTATTTGTTTGAATGACAGCATAGCAGTAATCCTCATCTGTGAAGCAAAATGTCTCGCAGAGAGTCATTTGGTGCTAATAATAAAATCTCATCAGTGAGATTTTAATAAATAACCCATTGTTTCATTTTTTTTGTTTCTGTTATTGTTTAGTCCAATTCCCAGTTATGCATTGGAGCAGCCTGTTGTTTGGTCCTGGAGAATCGTACAGTAAAGACTTTGATGCAGCCAGGATGCTGCTGCTGAGAACAGGGCCAGACCGGAGCCCCTCTATCGCCCCCAGCACACAGCCTTGCTAAGCTTAACTCAGCTGTTTGATGCCAAGCTCTGCGAGTGTGTGACTGTGTGCGTGCATGCATGCATGTGTGTGTTTACTCAGCTCAGGGGTTACATAAACAAGAGCAGCTAGCCTACAGGTAAGACCCACAGGAGACCAGCCAAGAGAGAGAGAGAGTGAGAGGCAGCGCCAGTCTCTTACCTTGGCATTCCCCAGGTGTTGTCGCCGTTGCTGGAGCTGGATATTTACTAATGAAGGGTGAACTGGAAAATGACTAAAGGAGATAGTAAACAAAGTTACCGTGCACACATACACTGAACGCACTCATACACGTGCGAGTGTGTTAATATAGTTAAGCTGGTGGAAGCCGGCGTCCGTGCATGTGTTTGTGTGCATCTTCATCCCCCCCCCACACACACACACACACACCATCAATGTATCTGGGCCTGCTGTAAAGAGATGGGGAGAATGTGGGCGGATGGGGGATTGGAGGCGGAGGCTGGCAGCAGGGCAGTTGGCCGCTGGTGCAGAGAGAGAAAGAGCGGGGAAGGGAGTCGGGGGGGAGGGGGGAGAGTGGAGAGGAGGGGGGGGTACAGCGGAGATAAATCATTAGAGAGCAGGTTATTGGAAATGCAGGGAGATAAAAGAGTGAAGAAGCCAGTAATTGCCTTAAAGATCAGACTACAAAGCATTACTTTGGATTTTACAAGGCCAGCCAGCAACAAAAGAGCAGTAATTTATGAGCTCAGTGTAAAAGAATAGCATAATTACATTAAAAATTAATGCTAATGAGGGCTAAAATGGGGAAGGTGGTTATTATGAAAGTTTGTATTCATCTTCCCTGGGTTGAATGATGGCTAGTGGCTTGATTAATGGCTTAATTTCTATCAATTAGCAGGCAAAAAAAATCTCCACTGAGACAGGCCTAAATTGAGCATTGAATTACACATCTTTACCACGGTGCAGGGAGAGAGGTAGGGGGGCAAAAGAGGGAAAGGCACTTTATTGAAACCTGGGAAACCACAAGATGTTCCTCTGCGAGAGCATGTACAGTACATGTACATGTGAAAGCCAGGCATGGGACGCAAAACTTAAATGTTTATCCTGATGTATACCAAGAAAAGAGGTTTGTGTCACGGTTAGGTTTTTAACAGTGATTTGGTGCTCTAAGAAACGGCTATTAAAAAATATACCGCTATAAAAATTAAATTTAAAACAAGTCTTTGGGAATTTGAATCTCTCTGACACTTTGAAAAATGTTATATTCTTTGATTAAACTGGCCAATTTAAAATGGGAGTCCCCTCGCTTTTTCTTTTTCTTTTCTTTTTTTTTTTTTTTCCAATACAGCAAGTCCCAGATGTATTTCTTGTACTCATTACACGACTCACACTACACCACCAGCCATAAATACGGGAGCACAGTTTGCCCTTTCTTTGCTATGGCCTATTCATTTTAATACATTAATTAAATGCCTTTAAGTTCTCTGTTTGCTATATAATTCCAAAACACTGTCAAAGATTTGCCTCAATTTGCAAAACCGCAATAAAACAAGCAGTTAGTTTTCCTTCTATTTATTTTTTTTCCCACAAAACAACAACAAGTGCTGCGGTAATTTAGCTGGCACGCTAGTGCAGTCAATTACTGGAATTAATCAGCAACAGCAATATATTCAGCTCGGCTGCTCTTGATTGACAAACTGTAGACCAAAGTCAAGTATACAAAGACAACACTGCCATAGCCCAAGGCCTCCGCTCACATATGAACATGTGTTGTTGCACAGCCCCCTCTTCTGGCAGGGAAGAGCAACTGCTGTCTGCCGCTCTCATCTTCAAGGCTGAAGGAGATGAGCTGAAATCTGTTTCCATTGGCTGGTTTGATTTTCTCTCCCCGTCTTCGGGTCTTAATCAATGAAGTGGACAAACAGCTATTTAGAGAGAACAATAGCCTATTGATTCTGAGCCACTCATCAGCACCGCTGTCTATCTAACTAATTTCAGTAATGAGATGGCAAGTGAGTTTTCTGACTCCCTCTTTTATACAAGAGCACGCACACACACACACACATGTGTGTGGATGTAATCATGCAAGGACACAAACGCACATTGACATACATTGCCTAGTCACTATCTATTATTCAAATCTGTAGATACAAGACAAAAACTTTATTGACTGAGTTTGATTCCATTTCCTGGTTCACAGTAATGGTTGTAATACACTTTAGCTTCCAGACACAAATGTCACAGAGATTTAAAAAAAACAAAAAAAAAAAACAACCTAATTTAAAGCTGTGCATTTAATTGTGTCAACTTTTGTTCCTTCTCCTTTCTGTCTCTGCGTCTGTTTCCTCTCTCTCAGCTTTCACTTTATCCTCCTCTCATCACTGACAGAATAGCGTTCCTAATGCGGTGACAATTGAGTCGACCTGTTAAATTAATTTGCCAGATAATGTGTCAATATTAAATATCAACTTTGACCTCTCCGAGCTGCAGAGTGCGCTCACCCAGCTAGAGTATTGATTTTTGTCTGCCTCTGAGCTTGCTAGGCCTGCACTCAAAGTCCATTATTTTTGATTTTCTCATGAAATACATATCTTTGCCCGCTGACATCTGACAAACAGCATATGGAAGTCATTTTATCTACCAATAATGTGTTTGTCAAAAAGTCTGAGGTCTTAATGGATTCCTGCAGCGCACACGGACAGCCCAGCAACAGACGGCCCTGCCAGGGAGATGCTAGCAGATATGCGTGGGTGTGTGTGTTTGTGCGGATGCATGTCAGTGTGACAGTTTGTGTGGTAATTGTTTATATAGGGCATGCGTGCTCAAAGGACAGCAGAGAAGGGGTAATTGAAAAAGTGAATTAATTGTGCTGAATTAATTGTGGGCCAGTCACGCAGGCGTTAGTTTTCATTCAAACGCACACACATGCAGCCGTGCAGCCGAGCAGTGGTGATAGTGGTGTGAAGGACAGGCCACAGTCTCCAGGAGGATATTAGGACAGTGTTCAGACTTCATCTAGCAGCCCAGTCAAGGTAATGACTATTTTTGGAGCCACTGTGCAATGCGTCTCTGCTCACATCTTCCCGCACTGGATGACAAGCTGATAGTCTGTCATATAGGAAGGCTTAATTCCACTTGTCACTCAGTTGTCCCATTCTGCACTGCATTAAAATCAAAACCGACTTTGTTTGAGTGCTATTATGAACTGTAATAGGGTGTGTGCTTATGTGTGTGTGTGTGTGTGCGAGATAGCATGTGACGCTTTGCTGTGAAAGCTGGAACAAATATTCATTTATTCATTAAACACCGGGGCCATGAAGATCTGTTGTGACACCTTTTCTGTAGCTGCTAATGGATTGAATTAATTCCTGCTATTAGCTCCAATTGCACGCTGTGTGTTGGTGTGTGCTCGTGCGTGTGTGTGTGTGTGCGTGTGGTATCTGTAAGTATACTGCTGCATGTACAGAGATTTATGCGAGCCATGAGTGCGAGTATGTAAGTTTGCGAACACGTGTACATGTGGGAGTACTTGTATCCCAATTCTTGTATCCCATTCCCTGCGTATGTGTGTGTGTGCGAGAGTGTGTGTGTTCCCATTTGTGTACTTGTTTTCATGACACAGCCTACATCAGTGCGGCAGAGAAACATGGATGTCTGCTGGATTGACAGATAGAGAGATGGGAGAGTGCAGGAGAGGACGGATGGATGGGGGAGAGAGGGATGAATATTGACTGATCAGTAGAAAGATTGACAGCCAGAGAATAATAGGAGCATTCAGACTCTGTCTTTTTTTTTTTTCCTGTCGCTAACTTTCCTGGCACACCTATTTTTGCCCTCCCACGCTACAAAGACTGCTCTTGAATTCTTGAAATGATTTATTATCTGATATGCAGAATCCTGATGTGTTTATATCCAAGAGTAATTTATTGGAAACCCTTTGTGTCCCTTTTTGTTTGATTGGACAAGCCAAAGCAAAATACTTTCTGATACATGAAAACTGTATGAAACCTAATCACATTTACTCTCCGTAATGAAATTCCATTGCAGTGAGTTTGTGTTCATATTTTGATTATTTTAGAATGCATTATCTGAGTGTAATTCACTGTCTGGCTATTATCTTGTTAGTATTTTTTTCCCTTTGCCTTTTGTAGGGACTCTATGCCCTTGGCAAAGCAAGAGTCCTTTTTCATAGAGGCCAAGATTAAAATAGGGGAATGTCAGATATTTCATATCGTATGTGTCAAAGGGCATTACACAGAGAGATGGCCCAATCCAAATGAAATCTGGTGCCTTTCAGAACATGACAAGGGACGGCTGACACTGCGTGTGTCTGTGTACATGTGTGTCTGTTTCTGGATACGTGTGTGCACATGTGCATGCCTTTGTTCACGGCTTCCTTCTGTGTAACATGTGTTTCAGAGGGAACTTCTCTGGAGGAGCAAGTGCGAAGGATAAAGGACATCGAGGCCATTGAGAGTGATTCCTTTGTTCCTCAGGCTTTCAAATCATCCAGGGATGATATAAAGGTGCGTTCTGTCTCTCTTTTTCTCCCTGCCCCTCAGTCTCTCCAGCTTTTCACTCCGTCTCTTATTGAATTTCCCTCTCTGTAATGCTGTGCCGTCTGTCCAGAGACAGCCCAGACCAAATCAAACATTCCCATTCAGTGCCGTTTGTTCCGACCTGAGACGGTTTCATCAGACGCTCCACTGTTCGCCGCCTCCAAAGCGGCAGCACCCACACAAAAGCCACAGCAGGCAACAGCCGTCCTCTGTCTCCCTGTCTGTCTCTTTCTCCCCCCTCTGGTTGTGCAGATGCAGACAAAACACAGAAGTCATTATTGAAATGTTCCTGTCTCTGAAGGAGCAGGAATTCGATTTGTTGGGGCTCATGGCTGTTTTGAAAAAAATAGTCGACAACATGTGACAGCAAACCTACACGGACTTGTGGGACACATCTTGGTGGGTCTGACACAGGTCAAGACCCATGAGGTAGCAATTTGCACTGGACTAAACTAGTCTGACCCGCGCTGGAGAGACAGCATAGATTGCACATGCAGAACATACTCTGAGTGTTATGCGCCTTTCACATACTAAGCCACCAAAGTTACCAGGATCTGCAAGGTTTGATGATTTTCTGTTTGGTCTCCTGTAGCAGAAAAAAATATACAGTACAACAGTAATATACAGCTTGTGTATTAAGCCAAAGATGCATATTATGTGAAGTACAGAAAGGGGGTGCATTTTTGCTGTATTTAAGTATTTTAATGAGCTGCTTTTTTAAGAACAGAAGTGTTTGAATGAAATACAAATTCAGCTTTACACAGTTTTTTTTAACAGCTCCTTGTTGGTTTTCAGATCAATCTTTTGAGTATTGTTCTCATCATTAGTCAAATATTACTTAAGAGATACAGAAAATTCATCCTAAGTTGGGAAGATTTCATAGTCTTCCACAGTCTTTTAGCGATTTCACTTATTTGGCTGCAATGAAAAGAATATTTTCTAAATGTGCTGTACATTTAAACATTGTGTGTCCACCCTATAACGCATCTTTGTGATTAATTAAACCCTTTAAAAGAATGTTTTTCCTGTAACTGAAATGCATTTCAACATTATTTAGTTACCACTCAAGAATATATGCCCAGAAAGTTTATTTGGCTTTAGCATTTATAATCATTGAGCTATGAGATGCGACCGTTAATAATTTTTAATCAGCTGTTAATGAGGAGAGCTTCGGTGAAATCTTTAACATCTGCTACAGACGCTCTTCAAATTTTTCTCCAATTTTTTTTTTTATCCCCTTTCAAGCAAGCTGCACTCATTAGAAATGTATATTCAGCATATTGCTCCCTAGAAATGTAATGGCGAGTTATACTATCTGATATCTGGCACATCACCATGCTTATTAGTCAGTGTGTTTCATATCTCGCTCACTTTTTGTATCCTGCCAAATGAATTTTAAATAGATTTTTCCAACTGGGTAAACATTTGCTCTGGGGCTGGTATTAAGAGTGTTTGAAACATGAATGGACTTGGCAAAGTATTCATTTTGATATTTCTTCTTAATCAAGCACAACAAGGAGAACAGGCCATCCGTTCAAATATGGGGCTTATTATAGCTTTAAGTAACACCCCAAGGATTGGAGGAAGAGTCATTCTAAAAATCACGTTTCCTTCTATCAGCTTGGACTCTACAGATGGCAACATGAGGGCGACAGAGAGGCCTCGTTCCTATTCTATGTCGATTAAATGAAAGCGCTTTGGCTGTAAATGCAACAGTATGTACATGATGTTGCTATTCAAGTGACAAAGCTGACCTGTCACAAAGCTGTGTTTGAATATTTTATTATTTACAAGTTTTAGCTTCCCTGCCTTCGCCCTAAGTCAGCTGGGATAGGCTCCAGCCCCCCTGCAACCCTAGTGAGGATTAAGCGGTGTATAGATAATGGATGGATGGATGGAAGTTTTAGCTTAGATAATCACCAGCATATAAGAGACCTGATACACTTGTGTGTGTTTCAGCCTATTTAAAGCCGAGCCTTTCGCACTGTAGTTATAGGTGAGATTCGCTTACACAAAATATAAGATGGTTGCCATCAGGGGAGAATATACGTATTTATCTATATCTCACTGCCTCATTACATTCACAGACAGATGAATCAAGGAAGATAATGAGATTAACACTCAGGATACAAGCTGATGTTTATCGGTACTCTGCGCTCTGCTGGTTTACTGTATATTCCAGTCTTTTTCTGCCATCATCTGGACAAGTTTCAAACTGCATTTCACAATTCACAATTCTATACTGTGTAATTGCACACCACATGCAATATATTCCAGTATATTTCTTTTTGTTGTTCAGTGTTTGGAGTTAATGTACACAAATTTTTTAAAAAATAAAATAAATGTTTTGCATCAACAAGAAATTATGTATATGTGCTGAAAGTCATGCACCAAATTGCAAGGCAAGATTCATTCTCCTAGATCAGGGATCTCCAACTCCGGTCCTCGTGAGCTACTGTGCTGCAGGTTTTAGATGTTTCTGTACTGCAACACACCTGACACCTGACAAATTAATGGTTCATTAACAGACTAGTGTAGAACTTGACAACAAGCTGTTGGAGATCCATCAATTTAAGTCAGGTGTGTTGCAGCACGGAAACATCTAAAACCAACAGGACAGTAGCTCACGAGGACTGGAGTTGGAGATCCCTGTCTTAGAACTTCCTTTTTCCAGTTTATTCATGTTTTTAAGCTGTAAATTGTGCCTCCATTTCCTTTAGCACTGAGGCTTTTATTTATCAGCAGGACACTCAAAATCAAGAGTTTTTTGTATGCATACTGGCTGCTTGCATATAATTAAGTCACTTTATAGTCAGAGCACACTACTTACCGAAAACCATTAAGTTATTATGCAGTCTGAAATTGGGATATGGAAATATTTATATGCACATGTCATTTCTGTGGTAGTTTATGGGCACCACATGGTTTTAAGTTAATAATGCTGTATTTAATATGAATTTATATTTAATATATATTATATTCCATCATTGCTCTGTGTCTGTTTTGGTAAACTCAACTATATTTCAGTATTGTAATGTACTTTTTTTAAAAATTTGAGCTTTGTGTTTGTCTGTGAATGCAGACTGAGCCAGTCGAGGTGAAGCAGGAGTCAGAGAGGCCGTATCCTCAGGACGTCACTCTTCCTGTGTCCATAATCTACAATGACAGCGACACACTTGCCCATCCCAATGTAAGTTCCCAGTCAAATTCTTTCTCAGTTAGCTTTCTGCTGTCATAAAGCTCCATAGCACGGACTTTTTTTTTCTTCTTTTTTTTTTTTAAACATTGTATATATTATAATCCTCAGGCACAGTCGGAGCTGATCTGGCTTCTTGTCATTTTATTTACCATCCTGTTTTTGTGGTGTCTGAGTTTATTGATTGATGGACAAACTTTGTAAACTTTTTCTAGGAAAAAAAAAAAAAAAAAAAAGCTACTGCTGCTCCTAACTCCAACCACTATTTACAGCGTTTTCACATATTCTGATACAGTGCTTCATATCACATAGGAAACCGCAGTCTAGCAGTTTATAGCCTCCTAACATCACTTCCTCCTCCGACTGCAGACCAATGATGAAAAACGAGAAGGAAAACTTTAAACTCCAATAATGCTCCCAGGGGCTTCCCAGTCATCTGTCTCCACTGGGGGAAACTAAGTTATGGCCTGACGTATGCAGATAACCCCCTCACATAGACACTCAACGCCCCCCAGCTCAATGCACACACATACACACCCTCAGACAGGCTGATGTATGGTAGCAATATGCCTCAGGCGGGCCCCGGCCCCAGCTTCAGCTCCAGCTCCACTTCCAATTAGAACAGATGAGTCCCATTAGCCCGGCTCAGATACTGTCATCCCACACACACAGCCTCATTAGCACCGTGACACCGGCGCAGGGCCGACAGACAAGAACTCACTGGTGTTGAATCTAACACACAGATAAGATGCTGTGCAGCTGAAAGCAGCGTAGGTTAGGAATGAAGGATTGACATGCCCGGGGTTGCTCTACAATCTGCATAATAATAGACACATATCATCACATAGATGTAGAGTATGTACACGTAGCCAGCGTGTCAACATTATCTCTCACCCTCACACAAACACACGTAGTGAATACAGAAATAATCTTCCAATTTTCCCCCTATGTCTCAGCGCCGTGCTTCTCAGTCACATAGTCATTATGTTACTTCCTAATAAACAGATGCCTTCATTCATCAGACACGTGGAGCAGCAGTTTTATAGCCTTTTTACAATCAATATCATTACTGCCAGTGATGTACTGTGTTGAAGTCACATGTGTAGGCCTTTTTCTATCACCAGGCTTAGCAAGGCCCACCAAGCACGAGATGAGGGTTTTTTTTATGTGCATTTGTAGCTGAGTAGGCAGGAAAACACTGATAAGACATGTGAGATACCGGCAGCCTTCACTCTAGTAATATAGCATCATCACTGTGCTGGTGTCTACACTGGGGTCACATGGGTGTCAATGGGCAGTACTGACAACCCGGTGCCATGATCATGAACTTACAAGGAAACACAGCTCATTTATTTCTGTCACATTGGAGGTGTGAGAGGTTTGAAAGGTAGGAGTGAGCAGCTGTAACACTACAGTTCCAATTACTGACACCAGAAGTTGGTAATGACTTAAGTGTCAGAGCAGACCGTGGAATACTGCTCACGCTGCTCGGAGGAAATTCAAAAGACAGTAGAAATGTGTTTGGATGACGAGCGGATTTCACTGGTGTTGCTCAAGATCCTCTTTTTTAGGTGCGCATAGTTTCACAAATTAGCTTCAAGTCTAATCATCGGTGTATATTCTGTATATATCTGTAATTATATATCTGTTTATTAATTTAAAAAAGCCAGTATTATGTTCATTTGCTTTCAGAGGGCTTTACAGACATTTGAACAACTACCTTCCAACTAGTTTAAACCTGCAAAGATGAGTCAGAACAGTTGTTTGGTAAATATTTTGATATTTGATGGATTCATTTTGCAAGCAAATATGCAAAAGATTTGGTGATTTCAGGTTTTCAAATGTAAGAGTTGGCAGCGTTTCTAAACATGACAATAAACTCCATATGTCTGGATTCCTTAGACTGAAATCAAACAAAACAAGACCTTTCATATGGAAGTTATTGTGGGCGTTTTTTGACTGTTTTCCAATGTTTTAAAAACCAAACAAGTGGTTGTCTAAGATTTTAGTATCTTTACATACAAGAAATGCAGTTTTTGTACTCTGATATTTCTGCCTATTCAAATCTGTTTTAATGTTTGTCTGTAACAAAATAGAGCATCAGTGGTTCCAGTGTTGAATACAGCTAAACTGCATGGCCACTTAGTCCTGTGGTCTTTCTTCATACCTGTGCCTTTGTCTTCCTGCTTACTTTCATACCCTCTATGCATGTCCTGTAGTTGTTTATGGACAAGGAGAAGGCCGAGGAGCTGTGGTTAAACAGACTGGTCTCGCTGCGACAGGAGAGGCTCATGGGAAGTCCCGTGACCTGAAGGCTGCCAGAAACCCAGAAGGTCTCACCCTTCCCAGGATAGTTTCAGTCCACATCTATGCCTCATTCACTCTTTCAAGTTTGATTTTATTGTGTCTCAATCCCTGTCACGTTCTGTCTGGTTTTAGGACATTACTGCATTTCTTATTTGCCCACTAATTTGTCTTAACTGTTATACAGACTTGTGAGAACTTTAGTAAATGAAGAATTTTTGGTCTTGATGTGCTGTTTTTTATTAAAATAAAGAAGTGAATGAATTAAACATTTTGCTTTTCTTTATTTGTCGTCATATATTTTTAATGAAGGGAAATCTTGGATTCAGACAGGCTGGTCTGATACCATACAGATAGCGTAGATTTTTTTTATTTTATTTTTGTGTGGGTGAATTATGGTGATAAACCGATAAGTGAGCCTGACAGAAAATGCTCCTTTCTCTTCACCCAAACCTTGTGACATTTGTTGCATCTAGACAGCAGCAGTACCTTATATGGTGCACTGCAGACCAAAGAGATAAGAGACAGCCCTATCTTCTCTGTCTTTGCAATCCTTCTATCCAGTTTTATTTAAGAATCGATCAAACATCATCGCATCTGCCTTGAACTTTGCTCTCCTTTAAAATATACAATAGGGGTCAATATAATTTGACCCCTAAAGTGTGTCGGTCACTTTACTGCTATGACTTAGGTCCACATGTCCCCTTATAAGCGAAGGTCACTGCAAAACAGTACAGTCCTGGTGGGAGTAGTGTCTTCCAGGATGGCAACGCCCCCATCATTTGAGCACAAGGGGTCACCGAATGATTTGATGAATGTCTGTGGAAGTTTCTCAGTCATCCAGGTCATGGTAATCCCAGGAGCTTCAGTAGTTGCCAACTGGACTTCTCCTTTTGGTACTTGAAGACATTTGGGCATTTACCCAGGAGGCTTCTTCAGTTCTAACCGACTGGGGGGATTCCCAGATATATATTGTCACCACCAACTCTCATGGTTAATGTCCCACTAATGACCCAAGACTCGCATGCCTCGAGGTGTAAATGATTGGTGGAACTGCCAGGTCAGGGATGACTCAGGGTGTTAATGGTAGTAAAACTCTGGGGAGAGATCTCAAGACTGCCTTATAAGTACCTGAAAAATGGTGTGATAGACTCCCTCATCTGTTCGGACAAGGCTGTTCCATTTTTACCTCGATTGCCACTGTTCTCTCTGTCCAGAATGTGAACATTGCTGTTCTCAAAGATATATTCTTATCCCATAGATGTAAATAGACAGCCATCACAGTCATAAGATCGTAGCCTAATTGAACAACTATGGAAGATTTTGGACGGTAATGTTTAACAGCGCTCTCTATCCTTTGGAAGACTGGTGTTCATCCCTCCAGTAGAGTTGGAGAATCAATGCCAAGGAGCACTGAAGCTGTTCTCGCAGCATATGGTGGTCCAACATCTTGCTTTACGTTGCCACCCATCTGTACATACTACATAGCAACTGATGTTTGTTTAGTCTATGTTGTAACCCTGTTTGAGCAGAGATTCGAGGCAGTGTACTGTAGACTCATGCCTATTTGTGGAACTGCCAGATGGTAAATCTATACTCAGTCTGGGACACAGTGTGTCACTCTTCAAATAGGTGGTGTTGTAATGAAATAATAAATAAGAATGTACAAATGATTTGAGAAGGCACACATTTAACTTGACTGTGTGAGTGAAATGTGTGAGGTTTCCCTGCTGGCATATCCTAAATGTCTCTGCACCCTACAGTTCCTAAAGGCAAGAATCTCTTCAGCAGCCAGTCTAGAAATTCTACCCTGGAGAGTTCCCTCATCTAACTTCTCCCTGTCCTCATAATAATAATTGATATGTCTGCTGTTTTTAATCAATACAACTAGAATTATGGAGGTTACATAGCCCCTGTGTGGGTACGACTATTTTTCTGGTGACATGCAGAAGTCAGACAAGTAAATTTACAAGAAATTTCTAGAGTGCCGTTGCCATGGCAGCCAGCCACAACACGCAGCGCGCGGAGAGACGCCGTTCAAAGCTGCGAATAACCAGCCAATCAGAGGGCAGCGTTCTGGCCACGTGTCCGGTGTCACAGCGACTTGGGTTCTAAATCACGCGGTGCCTCCTGCATAGTAACGTTACCGGAGCTGAGCGGTGGAGCCGACACACGGAATATTTCTTTATTTTATTTTTTTTTTAAATTCTCTTCGCAGCTTGAAAATTGGTGGAAATGTTCAACAGCAACGTCAGGGAGTTTGATGAGGATCCGTTTTTCTCGTGAGTAGCTGTTAAATCCACTACAGCTGATAGTGTCAGAATGTTTTGGCTTGCATTAAAGTGTTTGTCTCATAATGCAACAGCTCAAAAACAACTTATCACGGGGATAAACAGCAAGGAAGTGGTACATCCCAATCAAGATAGACTTTAATGTGCATAAAAGACACAGGCAAATTTCAAATTGTACCCACAAGGCTGTGCAACACTGAAAAGTGGCTCTATTAGTATAATATATTATTGTTAAATAAAGAAGTGGGTTGGTGCAGGAGATGGCAGGTTTACTTCTACTTTTAATAATCATTTTTATCTGTTTAAAAGACTTTGATATATTAGACCTAATTCAATTGACTGATTGTGTTTGTCAGATGTTCATTCAGACAGATTTGTAACTTATAAAGTATGTTATAAATATAAATACCCTACTATTAATAAAGATGACCAACTTGTTGACAGATTTCATTGGGCTCTACCATGTTACTGCCACGCAGCACTGAGAACTGTAGTTACAATACATCGACAACTTTTATTTTGTAGCTCTATCTTCATTCGATTTAGGCAAACCTGTTGTATAAGTGATGCTACAGTTTTAAATAATATTCAGTTCTAAGTCAGCAACAGCTTCTGTAAGATGCACCAACTGTTGCCATGACAGTTACTGAATGTTGTGCTTTATTTTGTGGAATAAACTTAAAAAGTAAATAAAAGTGTGAGGTGAAGACATGTTTTTACTTTAAGTTTTGATTAAAAGAAATAAAGTGCTATATCTTAAGTAATAGAATATCCAATATGATTCAGAAATAGTCATTAGCAACAGGTCATTTGTGATGAACAACAATCTATCCTGACACTGTGCTACAGTCTCTTTGACACGTTGCATGAGTTACGTGGCCACACTTAACCTCACTTGTAAGGCTGAAATTATTTTAGGGCTGCTTCTTATTTCAGTGTGTTGTGTTCATTGAAGAATTTATCTCTGACGAGCTCCAAGCCGACACAGGAGATAGGAGTCATTCTCAAATATAGAGTGCCTCGTATGAAGACATATTCATTTGCAGCATGTCTAAGCGCTTTTGTCACGGTTTGCGGTTTCCAGCATCATCATGCACATTTCCTTAGTGAATATTGATATACACTTTGTCTTTGCCTCCTCTTCCTTTCCCACAGGGATCCATTTCGTGCTCACCGGGAGCACATGCGGCAGATGATGCGAAGCTTCTCTGAGCCGTTTGGCGGGCCCATAATGCCCAGTATAATGGATGGGAGGAACCGTGGTCGTGAAGGGATAGAGCATCCCAGCTCATCTGTCGCACTGAGAAACGAACACAGGGTGAGAACCAAAAAAAAAAAAAAAAGAAACACTTCTCCTACAGTTTAGAGGGGTTTGTTAACTTGGGAAAACAACTAACAGGGGGAAAAAAGCTCTCTCCAGTCTCTTATAATACCCACATGAGTGTACATGCACCTACCTACGTATCATTTAGGTCAAGAGGGGACAAAAGATGAAGCCCCTGCTTTACTCATACCGTACATTTAGGCTTTATGACCCTCTAACGGGCTTATAACCACAGAAGATTAGCATTTAGAGGAAGTGCTAAGTTTACTAAGGTTTTAGTGGAAGCTGGCCACTGGCAGCGTAACTGGAGCGCCGCTTGCTGAGGTATGGGGCCATGTGAGTCACTGATTTTGTGGAAGGGCAACCCCCTTGGCCTCTCTGGACAGTTATATCTAGCCCTGAGGAGCCCTATTTATAGTGCATTGTTCCACTGACACACTACTTTCTTGCAAATACATGCACAGACTTCTCTGACACTCAAAGCAATCGGACTCCAGAGAATGTTGCTTTGCTCTGCTGCTGAAAACAACAACATATTTTAATAATATTGAAATTGAACTAGTTGTAATGTTAGCTAAAACCATGTTTGGCCTTTAAATGTAAGTGTTTTCTGTACATCAGCAATATGTGGTCACAGTGTGATTCTTAGAGAGCATTCATAGGCCACGTATTTGCTCTGGAACGTTTTGATGTTAATTGGGCTGGCTTGTAGCGTAAAGACAGTTTAGTAAATGAGGGGATAGCTTGACCCGCTAGTTTGCACCCGTTAACCTTTCCCAAGCTTCCCCCTCCGCTGCCTAGTTTTTCCTGCGAAGTCAAACTTAGTCCCTGACACCTGCTTCCTCATGAGAGCCTGTGTATTTATCCTTGATAATGACTTTCATCTGAAGTGGAGCCTCAGTTGCCAGCAGTATTTATTAGCATCATGCCATTAACCAGCTAATGCCAGCTGAGAAAGGGCTCTCAGTTCTTAACTAATGACCTCCGTGGCAGCGAGGGAAATGGAACTGCAGTGCAAAATGTCCATCCAAACAAATGGTTTAATGTAGTATTAGGTTAAGGGTTTTTTTTTTGGTTTGTTTTTGTATGTTGTTTGACTTGTCCAGCAGTTGTGGACAAGATAGATCACATGTTGCAGGAATAGCAATTAACAAAGTATAAATGTATAAGGTTTCTCAGTGATATGTAGAAAGAGCATGTTAGAACACCCATAATCAGGGTCCGCCTGCTCGATATTCAGCGTTTTTCCAATTATCTTTTCTTGACACACTCCCAGTAAAACTCATTAATTTTCAAATGTATAAATATTGGTCTTTGATTACTAATGATATTGCTATCAGCTTTGAAAATAAACAGATTGTGCAACCCATACTCAGATTTTTTTCTTGATGGAAACGCAAATGTGAGATTAAAGAAAAATACACTTCTATAGCCTCCAGATTTCTAGTCTGCCCTGCTAATAGTCATTAACAATAAACAGAGTACGTACAATATGGTATAGATGCATGGAATCAAGGTTGAATTATATAGGGACCCAATTTTTTTTTATTTCTTTTAATCACACAACTCTGCTCTCTAATTTTACACACACTCATTTATCTGAGGACAAGTAGAAGTGCTGCCCAACAGTGGTCAAAAGGCTGAAGCTGTGGCGCTGTGCTGTCGGCTTTGCAAAGGCACGTTGTGCTCAGATGTCAGGGACACTCTGTTTTCTCATTGTTGCTCTTTTCGTCCATCTGTTTCGCAGAACGTGCTTTGGCAGTGCTGTTGCGTGAGCAGCAAGATGATAGACACCTCTCTCTCTCAAATTGTTCTCCAGTATCACAGGCACAAATGTGCGCACGAAAATACATTCAAAAACACACACATACAGTGTCGAAACACGTTCCCAGGCGCAATTACACAGTCACAGCTTGAAAAATAACATAGATGCGCTGGCATGCCTGCACACATGGCACTGAAATGCACGCAGACGTTGGCCACATCATGCTGGAAGGCCTGTACTCCTTGTAATAGCTTACCAAGCATTAGATTCCTAATGGGAGAATAAACCCCGTCTTACCTCCCAAGGCTGCTATGAGTGCTCATATTTCCCCATCTCTCGCCAGTATCCACTACCTGGTTCGTATCACCTTTCAAAGGACTCATTCATCGGGACACTTGTTTACAAAAGTGCTGCTGAGTGACAGTCAAGCATCTTTCAAATTACGTGTTCTTACAATCTTTGATTCTGTGGTTTGTTCAGTGGTGTCAGAGATATGAAAAGGTAGTAAATAGCATAAGTAGAACTGATATTGTCTGTGTTGTGGATTTATACCCTTAAAGACATGCTGTCTCATACCGCAAAGATAAAGTGAGAAGAAAAGTAGCTGTAAAAATGTCCCTATCGTCGCTATCAGATGCAGTGGTTCTTTAGCATCCTCGTCTTTTAACTCAAACAGCACAAATTTACCTGACTCCTCCCATGTGACCCTCCACCTCTTTACTTTACTTGCAAGTATGGTTTATATCAGGAATTCCCACAAGGATACAGTGGCAGGTTCAGCATCGGATTGAGAGAGAGACAGAAAAAAAGACAATCTGCAGTAGTCCAGACAGCCTAAAATAATGTGTAATGCGTAGACCACTGGGTCTGCGTTTGTTATTTTGCGCCCTCAGTCTCTCCTCTACTCAACCCTCGTCTAAATATAATGTGGCGAGATATGTAACCGGCATTTATTAGTTCATAGATGCCACTGTGAGATAAAATTGGCCGTGAGGCTTCATAGATACGGGCCAGGAGTGTTTCACATCAGCTTGACCTTTGAAAAGAGCTGAGAGAGCAGCCTTGGACTCTCCGACCCCCTGTCGGATCCCCGTCCCGACTGGTCCACCCAACCCACTGTAGCCTTCCTAGAATGAAGCTCGGTTTCAGCGTTAAATCCTCACTAATCTCCGGCAATGCGACCCAATTACACATGGAACACAAGTCATTCAACACCCCACTGATTACGCACAATACCCATGCACATCACACCCCCAGAAAATGCCCTCACACACATAGCGATGGCCATTGAGATGCTTATCCGGGGCCACAGGGTCACAAGCACCTGTGGTTTTGGCCCAGGGAACACAGAGTCTGAGTGAAGGCTGCAGGCTGCTCCCTCCTTGCTGGTTGCTCAGTTCTTGCTGCTTGCACTTCTGGAAGGTTCACGGCCTTGAACGGCTGTGTTTAAGGCCATGTGGGGAGCTGTGTGTAGCTGTGCCAAGGGCTTAGTGACAGATGTAAGACAACCTAACAGCTTACTGGCAACAACCTCGACAAACATGCAAAAAGTCTGCATGATTTATGTGCATATAAATATCGGTGAGCTGGTATATGAATGTGGATTAGTGGCAGTGATATTTCGTAGTATTTCAATCTGTGCTGTAACAGGCCGCCTGCTTGTGTGACACAGGTGGTGTTTTCATTGTCCATTAAGTATCTAGGAATATTTGATGCCTCTGTAAATATATTGTAAACACTGATATTGTGGCTCATATATATTTAAAATGTATGTATGTGTGAAGCATAAAGACTCAAATGCTGTGTTGCTAAACCGATACTGTTTGAATCCTCAGGATATGAGCCGGTCATTGTTGCCCTTTGGCAGTATTGACAGCACGGTCAGTAGAGTCATCCACTGTTCAGTTACACCCTCATGACCTTCTCGTTTCAATCTTTGTAGGTCAAGTGCATGCTCTAACTCTGTGACTGATTCAGCCCACTGCTTATTGACTAGAAACCGTCACTCAGTTCGTCACAGTGTTTCCTCTACGCTCGCTCCATATTTACACCATCAATCCATGTACAAAATATTGTGTTATTTCATATAAAGCCAGCCATCGCTGTAGCTCAGGTACAGTCAGGTTTAACCAGATTCCTTATTAGAATTTCTTCCCTGTACTCTTTACTGTTCAGTGTAGTAGCAACAAAACAAGATTTTAGCTATAAATGATAAGATACTCTCAGCAAAATATTTAAATATTAGTGTAAAACTGTGCGTATGCATCTCTCTATCCAAACTTTTTGTTGATTAAAAACTGATTGCATAGTCTTTCATTTGGGAAAAGAGAACACCCAAACACAAGATAGCATTTTCACCAATAGTTTTTTTCAATCAGCTGAAGCAACAATAAGGGATCCAATTGAAACAAACAATAGCATGTTTACAATAACATTTCAGTCACCTATAATAAGAAATTTTTACTTTTTTATTGAAAGGAGGAACTTTCACAGTTGAGGGAATTTTTTGACTATGGCCCACAATTACTAGGAGGCAGGATTGGTCTCAAAAAAGCACACACCACTGTTAGACCTCAATGCAACACCTAAAAACAGTCTTGTAGAAACACTGTGACCTTCATGTATACGATCATCATGGTTTCAAAGGTCTGGTTTCTTGACTAGTCTGCAGGTTCTGTTCTGCACGACTGATGGTATGTCTGTTTCTGTAAGATCTGGGTTCATTTTTAACTGTGGCCGCACCTTCACAGAATATGGAATGGAAAAAAAAAGTTTGCATGCAATTCATGCATTGTGATGGATTGCACCTGACTGTGACATGCATGACTGACTTGAGTTGTGTGCGGGGGTTTTTTGGCTCAAAAAGGGGCTGCTTCAGCTGTGATATGTGTGTCATCGACAAGATTTGTTTGACAGCATGGTCAGGTTTTGATCAAAACAGCACAGAACTGAAGCAACCTTTAAATTAACTGTGCAGGAAAACCCCCCAAATTAAGCTACAAATCCCATGCTGGACTTGGTTTGTAGTTCTGTCATGAACGTCACTGGGTCACATATGTTGAAGTGACAAAATGCGAATGTCCTGGTTACAGTGTCCCAGATGGCACACATGAGACACATTTAGCTCTCTGTGCATGTGTGTTTGTACACATGATGGCGTTGTTTATGAGCTGGTAATACCTAGCGACCAGGTGGCATATGAGCCCAGCCATTTAACTCCTGGAGCTTTGACTGTTATTTTCCTTTCATGTTTGCACAGGACATGATGAGGAATCCCTTTGGCATGTTTGACAACATGATGGCCAACGTGCGAAACAGGATGGATGAAATGCACAGAAACTTTGTGAGTTTACTGAAGTGATGGTTTTCTGTTATCTTCCTTGGCAGCTTTTGCCGACTGCTGTGTCGAACGAAATGTTAACAGTGAGTGTTTTGTCCGTGTGTTTCAGGAGAACCCGCCCACAGGTTCAAACAGCCACTCATTCAGCTCCTCATCCGTCATGACATACTCAAAAGTTGGGAACGAGCCTCCCAAGGTCTTCCAGGCGACCTCGTCGACACGCCGTGCCCCTGGAGGGGTGAGTGGATGTGCTACCATCTTAAGTCAGAGTACATTCAAACACAGTTCAGTGCTGTGTGCTCTAAAATCTGTCAGTTTTAAAATTGGAACTAGGGCTCCGACATGGAACCATTATTAATAATGTTACTAGCACCTGTATTCAAACTGTCCATCATGAGAAAAGTTTCCTCTCTGTCTTTCCTATACTTTTCAATAACCACATGCTTATTTGAGTTAATACACTTTTCTGTGGACCAGCTGTGTCTGATGGGGTTAATCATGTTTTTTTTCCCCCCAGATCACGGAGACCCGGCATGCAGTTAAAGACTCTGAGAGTGGACTGGAGAAGATGAGAATTGGTCACCACATCCAGGACAGAGGCCATGTTGTAGAGAAGAAATACAACAAGAAAACAGGAGAGAAGGAGTTCAACCAGGACTTCCAGAATTTGGATGAATGTATGTTAAAGTTTTCCATTTCCATTTCCTGATAATCTGCTTTAAGCTTTTATGCATCTTCTTTGAGTCACTGAGTTATTAGACATGCCTGGTCCACAAATATAAATCCATGTTTTGTAGAATCATTAACACTGATAGATGAACCTTCTATACTGGCCATAGTTTTAGGACTATTATGTGTTTTGATTGAGTGCCTTAGACTTGCTACATGGACTATTCAGTTAAACACAATATTATCTCACTCTATAAACCACCAGTAGGTTAAGGTGGATGCATTTCAGTCATTTATGCTAAGAAGTTGGATGGCATTCCCCCTTAACTCGCCTACCAAGCACCACTGTCTACGTCTCTCTGTGCCACTAATCTGCCTAACATGATCATGATGTTTTCCCCTCAGCCGAAGCGCAGTCTTTTGACGATGAGTGGCAGCAGGAAGTGTCCAAGTTTCAGTCGTCTGGCCCCATGTCTCGCCTGAAGGAACCTCGACCCCGTGCTGTTCGCCAGGCAGCCCTCACCGGTCCCGAGCAGGCCCACAGGTCAGTGTTCAGACCACATGTAGTGTCGAAGACAGGCCAGAATCTGCACTTCAGGATCGAATGACAAACAAGTAGAAGACGCATAGCAGACATGAACAGACTGGTGACAAATTAGAGGAAAAACCTGAACCCTTGACCCCCCCTGCAGTGGAGGGGATCCAGTGGCTCTGTTATGCTATGGGGAGCATTTTGCTGGCAGGGTTTTGGTCCACTTGTGCCATGAGAGGGAATGGTCACTGCAAAGTTGTTCTGCGTCTTCATCTTACCTTGGCATGAAACATTTCAATCCCGGTGGGAGCGGTCTCCTCCAGGATGACAATACTCTCATCTGAAGGCCTTGAGAGGTCACTGAATAGTTTGATTTGTAGGAAGATTATGTTAATTTTAAGCTAGGGCCCTCTCAAACACCAGATCACATCCCAATTACACACCTATGGGTGACTTTAGACCGACATTTTAGACAGTGCTCACCACCATCACCAAAACAACAAATGATGGAAAATGTTTTAGGAAAATGGTTTTCTATCCCTCCAGTAATCAGTGCCAAGTTGCATTAAAGCTCTTCTGGCACCACAACACCCAGCTAAGACACTTAAAGTTGTTTTTTCCTTTGTCACTCATCCATACGCTGTAACTTATACGGTTATTAGTATGATGCCAAACAAGCTTGTGATTATTCCATTTCTTTCTTTGTTTTGTGTTTTCCACAGGGACCAACAAATCGCCACGGCTGAGGGTAAAAGCAAAATGAAAGGCTCACGTTCGACACAGCAGTAAAAATCAGCTGTATATGTGTCAATAAAGTCTTTCAAGGATCATACAGTACACCCTGGTGCCTCCTCAACACCTCCACGCACAAAAACACACAGAGGACACTGACCTGGGTTTTAAAATAGTTATTCTACATCCGGTGTTTCACAGATTTTGGCTCAGCTGCATGTATTTTACATTACTGCTGCACATTTTCTTAAACATGTTGTACTGGTTGAACAGGACATTTAGAGTTCAGGGAGGCACAACATCTGCAAGTTGCAAAAACTGTACATTATGCTTTGGAGAATGATCAGTGGTAATGTAAACTTTGTCATTTGTAGTATGTTGCTGCAGAATATGTAAAGTCCTCACTGTTGTACTTGGTATTCACAGTTGAAGCTTACTGTTCTTGTTTCTTACACGCCAACCAGGAAGCAGGTTATGGATGCAGTGAAACTGAGAAGCACATCGACATATAAGCGTTGCACATTTCAACACAGAAATAAATTTTATTTTTCATACTGTCTCTATTATTATTATGCAATAGGACACAGAAAGTAGTGAATTACTGACTCGTGTGAAATCCACTAATGCACTTAGGTAGTATCTACATTACTTGTAATTATACTGTCTAGCACCTAATGTTCTAGATATATGTATTTTATCTGCTGTAATCTTTGTAAAAAGAAAAAGTTACCCTTCTTTTTTTATATTGTTACTTTGGTTGCTCGTTTTTCATCTGATGAACTCCGCCGTGCTGCTTAGCATAAACTCGCGGACGTATGGATTATTCTCAATAATTCACGTTTTATTCTTGTATATTTTGACAAGCTCTAAAAATAAGGCCTGTGTAAACACAGGCTGTTGTCTGAAAATAAAAATGTGAACATTCATACGGTGTTTTGGTGAGTTTTGTTGTTTCAGTTATCAGTCCTACATCAGGTTGTAAGATAGAAGAAAGTTGTCTCAATTTACAAATGCTAAATAAATGTTGTGAAAAACTTTTACTGTATGTTTGTGCAGCCCTGCAGAAGGTTTTATGAGTGCGATCCTGTATTGTGATGAACCTCTTATGCCCGGTTGTGACCCGGCGTGGTATTTTTGGATCTGAGCACTTGTCAGTAGCTCAGATTGGTCTGAGATGTTACACAGCTGCGAACCCGCCATGCTCCCCTCTCACGTGCTCGTATATCAGACTTCACTGATCCCTCAGCCTCAGCATACAAAAGAAAGAAGCAGGGCTTCATTCAGCCCCAGAACATAGAACGTGTGATTTGTGTTGTTGCTTTGTTGATGTAACAGAGAGGATGGTATACAAAGGTTTTTTTAAAAAGTCTTCTCTTCAAATTCCCCAGGGTGTTTCCAGGCTACCACTATGTTGCCCCGCTATACCATCACTACCACTCCAAGGGGAGGAAAGAGCTGAGCTAAAAGACTTTTCTTTTCTTTCTTTACCTCTGTATACTTTTCCCCCAATTCTAACAGTCAAACAACCCACCTGTACAGTTTAACATTTAAGACACTGCTAAAAGAAAATTCTGCTGCAAAAGTATGGCCTTACCATATATTTCACTACAACACCTGCATGCACAACTGATTGTTGTTGCATTTGTGAATCATGCTTAAACAATCAGCAAATAACGATGTTATCTGCAGACAGTTCTTCCTTTGTGCCCCGTGAATCATAAGAAAACAATCAGCATCAGTACAAAGGTTTTAATAGTCAATACAAATATGCTACAAAAGATTCTGAGACTCTGCCTCCACCTGCTGGTCGTCTTAGAACATGACTTGTCAGGAATATTTACACAGCCATTACAAGAAACATAGCTTTAAAAAAAAATCTCAACCAAATATACAGGATCTTATGAAATCAAACAGCATCTGGACCAATGTAGCGCAAAGCTCAGATTTAAATATGGGGGCAGTCTCAAATATGAAATCCATTATTGTTTAGAAAAGTCACCAGATGCAAACAGAGCTGGAGTAGTTGGTTCAGGTCTACATGATTCCCTGAGGCTGACCCTTTCCTGCGATCTTCTTGGAACATTCCAGCAATGCATTGTGGATGTCTTTGGCGCAGGAGATTTGGGACTTGATCATGCCGAGGTACTGGGCGTAAGACATGGACTCTGTCTGCACTGTGTCTGGCTTGGTGGCTGTTGGGACCAGGTTGGGTGAGTGCTTGGCGCTGTCGATGCTCTGCGAGAGGCACTCGTACGCCAGCCGCTGTGTAGAAAAGAGAAAATGGAGGTTTGTGTAGTTCATGCTATGGTTTGACTGACATTTTTTTGTTCAAGCAAGGACTGAATACAGACTAAAGAACTTGAAAACTACTTATTAAAAGCACTATTTGTGTTCTTTAAAGGACTGCTTCACTCATTATTAGCATTATCTTGATCCACTTGTCACAGTGCCGATTGTCATGTCCTTACATCTTGACATTGTGTTCATCGGCAATGTCTTACAAGAAAACCATGTTAATCTGTAGGGCTCCTTCAAAAATTTAATGTGTAACAATCTCAATAAAATAAATGTTAGACACAAATTAAATACATATTTTAAGCTACGTTTTGCTGTTTCTTAAACAAGGAAGTTCCTCCATTGTAATCGATGTATCAGTAAGGCTACATTTAGCTTTTAGTGGGCATAGTTTGTAATATACACTAATGGAATACTATTATTGACTGAATACAAAAATCAATAATTAAATATGGTGCTGAGCTTGCTTTAATAAATCAGATATGGGTGTCAGCAGATTCTACTATCCGATGGAAGAAAACTTGTCCTTGTGCCACAAAAAGCTATTTGTGAGTATAGTTACTTGAGTCTTACCAAACACAGCTCCAGTTGATCGCAAAGGGCATAAAACTCCTCTAGGCTTTTGTCAAAGCGTTGAACAGCTGCGTCACTGCTTTTGCTGAACAAAAAGAGACAAGAAGCACATTGAAGTGATGAGAAAGCTGGCTGACAGAGACACTCATAATCAGGATCAATCATTCCTTCTGTGTTACCCTGTGAACTAATGTTAGATTAACTGGTTTTATTCCTGTAGGTGAGGCTGCTGCTGCTCCAATGGCAATGAAGACTGTGGGTGGCTGCCCTGCTGCCTGTTCAAAAGACCGTAAACATCAATAAACTGTTTGCAAAGTGTTCCAGCAATGTTTTAGTATTACATTTGTAATATTTGTTCCATCTATCATCACTATTCTGATGTGAGGTTGACGTGAGATCTGTTTAGCATCCAAGCAAAGAACACAGTTTATTTGTATGTGTGTAACAATCGGCTAAAGTGAAGACATCACTAAACACAGTGTGACAGTCTACACTTGGAGGAAGTTGTGATACATTTGTATCTGACTTCAGTTAGACAGTGAGACACAAAAACAGCCTGAACAATGTTGTTAAGATGTATTGAAACATTACTGCCGTCAAACTGAGGGATCGGAGTTCTTTTTGTGACCGACACATTTCAAGGATGAACACATGAACACTAACTGACTACACTTTCTGCCTTCAGGACATCAATCTGCTCCATCTGCCTATTAAACACTGTTACTCTAAGATTTTATCCTCTGTTTCCTTTTTGACCTCTCAGTTTCTCAGAGGGGTGTTTTCTTAAATGCTTTTCAGCCTCCTTACTTTGACTTTCATTCAACACATATCGGAGTTTTGAGTAAGTGGAGCTGCTAACATAACATGACAAAGAGCTTGCACTGTATATTGGCACATGAATCTATGTGCAGGCAAATTTTGAGAAACTGGTGCCTTTAAACTTAAAAATTTCTTTAAATCCAATCAGGTGGTGGTTTTGTTGCTCATGTTGGTGGGTTTTCAGTTGTCTTAATACACTTGTCAGGGATTAAACTCAGGGTCATCATGCGTTGCAGGTCTAGAACATCAGACATCTCAGCCCCCTACTTCTGTCCAGTTAGCAAACTATGCAACAAAGTCTCCCTCCTCAAACAGGACCACCAGGAGGCCTTTTCAGTGGTTTCTAAGATGTTCCTTGTGGCTCCTCACCTCTGTAATCCATAAGTCCCCAGCAGTCCCAGGACCAGAGTCAAAGACTAGCCTGCAAAGCCCATTGCCAGGCCTTCCCGCTATTCTACCAACAGCTAGCTACCAGGTTAGCATACTTTGCCTTCTTTCTCAAGGGACTTTTAGTTTGAGTAAGATGACTTGTTAAGTTGCTGCAGACATCAGGACCATGTCTGGCAGAGTGGTGTGGCTGCGATGGATTTCAGGAACTCAGTTGTCACCCTACAGCGACCAGAAGCTGCCAGACTGTTTCTGTTGTAATGAGAGGACCCTGAGCTTTTGGATGGGGTTGAGGCTTTTCCCCCACTCGAACAAAGGTGATGGTGTGCTTCTTTGTGTGGTGCTCCTTGCTGTAGTTGATGCCAGTGCAGATGGTGTTTGCTACCGTCTGCAACACTCGATCATGGCCCTAATGATACCGTCCCTCTCCCAAGACTTTTGGACAGCAGCTGAGGATGTGCTCTATTGATCCTCTTACCCGGAAGAGTTGGCAAGCTGGCGAGTCTGTCAGGCCTCAGCTAAACAGACTAGACGGACTTGGGAGGACGTTGTCCACCGACTAAGTATTATTGTGCACCGCTTACTGACGTAAATGAAGAGTGTGACTGTTGTTCTACTATCTCATATTTTCTCTCCTTCTTAGCAGCAAGTTTTAAAGGCCATCAGTGATTGTAATTTTGCATATTAATTATTTTTTTTCTTTACATGTCAAGACAACAAATGATTTCAAAATGATTCCTGATATTTTCATGGTTTGTGTCAAGACCACAATAAGAGTGGCAGTACACTGTTGTGCTCATCGAGACAGTCAAAAGTGTAAGTTAAAAACTTAGTAATTACAATATTTTGTTCCTGGTTAGTTGAAATGGGTTCTGACACGCCACATTTACTAAAAAAAAAAACATCTGTCCCAGCCCCACTGGTATCATCAGTTAATCAGAAACTCCAGTTAAATTACAACACCCTGCAACCAGGCTACTTACATGCCGTTGTCAATTGTCGTGTTATGGGCCAAATTCAGGGACGCAATCTTCATTACATTCTGAAAAAGAAACATTAACGTAATACATTTAAATCACATTGTCTTTGCTTTCAAATATACTTGCCAAGCTACAGTAGTTGGGCTGTCAATTCGTTAGCAAAAGCAACTTTAGCTATTGTGAGCAGATGTTTGCCAGTTGAGTCTTTAGCGAGCTCTCTGTGGCATAAATTACCTGCAGACTCTCCTTGAGCTGTGGAATGAGCATCTTAAATCTATGAACTGGGTCGAAGTCCTGCTGTTGGCTAAGTTGCTGTTGTTGTTGTTGTTGTAATGAAGTGGGTTGTTGTAATCCAGGTTGAGGCATCGGCCCGCCGGGCTGCTGCTGAGCCGCCATCTTGACCGACTACGACAATAGAAGAGCGAAATATCAGCGTCATAGTTTTTTCAGAATAAAAGCTTGAACCACACAACACACTGTACATATCTATGTATGTTTGTGCATGTATATGTCTGTAGTAATCTTAAATATAAGACCGTATTTTCTTCAATAGTATTCCACGCCTTATCTTTTTTGCCTATGCACGTATATTTCTGAATTGTATTATTATCAAATCCCTATCAAATCTCATAAATCCCAAATGATGACAAATATAATAAAAGACTTTTTAAATATTAAAATAATTCACCTGCAACACTTTTTAGGAGTTTGCACAGATGATTGTTGCTGCATTTATGAATCACGTTTTAACATCAAATCATCATCCCAGAAAGATGTTTGTACTTTGATTCCAGCTTGCTTCTATTCCTACTTTTTCCTCCCCTTACACGCATTCACTGCATACATACAGTTTCTATGTGATAATCACAATC